GGGAAACAGAGGAACATTCAATTAACTTATTTTTTAAACATACAAACCAATTTTAAGATAGTGCACACGATGGTAACCATAACGTTTTTCGCTAGCTCAGTCATGCTTTAGCTCTCATCAGATATATTCTGCATAGAACATTTCACTTCCCAGGACCAGTATCTGAGACTATAAAGCACTTTGGATTTGATACACTTGGGCAGAGCCGTTAAGCTCACGTGGAGTTCCACTCAAATCAATGGTTTCACCTAGGTTTCACAGCAGGGTTGTCTGTATTAAGTCAGTTGCAGAGCTTACTCTAGGCATCTCACAGTATCACTTTTAAGTATTTAGGTTTCTTTGAACTTCCCATTTTAAAACTTGAGAGTTACACGCAACTAAAAATAGAATCATATACATTTTGCTGAAGTTTTCCAAACCGCCTGTCATTCCAAAGAAGATAAAGAAAATACATTTCTGAATGTTACTAAAGCAAAAACAAAAAAAGCCACACTATCTTTTACTCAAAGAAGCTCCAGTGGCCCCTAAGGCTGAGAGAGATTTAAGATTTTACAGGAAGGGATGATTGTGTCAAGAATGTCCAAACTAATTCTGTTCAAGTTTGACCAACTTCACACACTTAACACAGTACTACAGTGCTTCATGGCTATACTATTCGAAGACTCCATTCACGTTAGCCACAAACGGACATTCATCTCAGAGCCTGAACCTATCCTGCAGCTGGGATTCTGGGACATTGAGTTCTCAACTGGCAAAGCATCTAAGTGGACAGCAGACTGAAGTGGGGAGAAAAAAGTTTCTAAATTCAAATGCAGACAGACAAGTTAGCAACAGAACTTTAAAGTAGCTTACAGCCAGATTCCACACATGAGAGACTGGGGCAACAGATTCAAAGGAAGAGGGAAAACTAGGAGTTTGAGCTGAAAGTAAAGCAGGACTGAAGGAGCAAGGGTATAGGAAGCCAGCAGAGAGGGAAGAGCTAAGTAGGGAGATAAGACATTTATTAGCCGTCTTCTTCCCGGCCTTCTGGGGAGAACAAATGAATAGTATAAGCCACACAGAAAAGCTCAGGATGACATGCATGTCTGTAAGAAAAGATTCTAAGAGTGTGCAATGAATGTGGCCTGGAACCATGCTGTGAATGCAAAACGCAGACGATTCCACCTCTGGCTCAAGAATTCCACAAAATTCAGGTTACTGGAGGGGTAGTCTTGAAAGTCTTTAGGTATCTGGAATTACCCATTGTATGAGGAGGACAACAAGCTAGATCAACATTTAGTGTGCCTTGCTACAGCTGTTTTTAGTTCTCACAACCACCACCACACTAATGAATTGCTGAAAAAGTGAGTAATGTTAATTCTGTTTAAAATATGGTATGTTAACGTGTAATTAAAAATTGTATCAGTGCCTGTGCACAGACTGATTTAAAGCTCTATAAGCAACATTATAGCCAGCATTTGAAACCTTGAAAAGGCTTGCAACCTTGTCCTTTAAAAATAATTTATTTCCATATAAAGGTTATATGATTATGCAGTTCCTCTGGGGACTGAGCAATTCTGTCCAAAAACGTAGCATTCACATATTTTTGTGTACAAGATACAAGAACTAGAGTATGCAGTTATAAAATGCAACATGTATTAGAATAGAATATCCCTTTATAATATGACAAGAGCAAACTTCCTAATCTCAACCTTTTGCCACCTTTCTTTTAAGATTGCTAAGTAGGTTGATTGACAGCCACTGTTATCGTAAGAAAAACATTTTACATAATTTGATTACTAAAGAAACTTTCTATTTCTTTTTCTAATAGGCAATCTTGTGTCCCAGTAACACTTAATAAGTTTGTTAACTAATGACTGGTTTTTTGAACTACTGTTTTCTGAGATCCTTTAGTTCACCTTCTGATTTTAGAATTCAGTCTGACTGTTGGGGAAAAAAAAAAAAACACTGGTAATACCAGAAGAGACACACTACTAAGGCACATAATAGAATAAGCAAAGAGTACAACCACTTTAACATTGTCTGAATTTCCAATAAGTACTACTTACATTTATCCACTTAAAAATGACCTCTTCTACTTACCTTGAGGTCTCGATGAATTAACCCTTTAGAATGAATATATTCTACTCCTTTCACGATTTGTACAAATTTTTTTTGTGCCATATCCTGATAGTTTCGTTTTTCTCGATTATTTACAATCCAGTTTTCCAGTGGCCCTTGTTCACATAACTCCATTTGGATAAAAAGACACTTATGTTTTGCGCGTGACCTCTGCCTGCAAGAGCAAATTATATAACCATATTAAAATTAGCAAAATACAATTCCTCCCAAGCCACTGCATCAATGATTCTAAAGTGCCTTTCTTTTTAAAATTGTTTTCATTTTGAGAGTTCCCCAGAACAGGGTGTGCAAGTCCCTTGATTTTAAGAAGATCTCAGATCAATTTGCACTAGAACTAAAAAAATAAAACTGCAAACCAAAGAGTCCCTGCTTAGAGGCTGCTTACCCCTGGAAAATTTTTAACTTCTTGCTTGCCTCTTTATTTGCACTGAAAATTTTTCGAGTGCCCAGATTCTGCTCTCCTCACATCTAGAGGTATGCCCTACAAAGCAGGAAACAGCACAGTCCTCGGCTCCCGCTTTGCCCTCTAGGAACCACTGCAAGTCTCTGGCAGGTATTTTCTGCTCTGCTCAGCAAATACAGCATTACGTTTCCTCTACGCCCTCAAATATCATGTGATCACATTCCTTCAACTTCTGTCCTTTGGAAAAGGGGGGATTGCAATTTGCAAGCTGCTGTTTTAAACTGCAGAGCTGCCTTGTAATTACCTTGAGTCCGGATACGTTACATAGTCCTTCCCTGTCCAGCTACTGTAATATCGCACTATATTTTCATGGTCAAGTGCTGCAAGTTCTTTCACTTCACGCTCTACATTCCTACTCAGAGGAAAATAAAAAAAGATCTCAAACAAATGACATTTCCCTAAGAAAATTAAATTCTAAATTCAATAAAAGACATGCTATTAAGGAGCAGTTGTAATCTACAGATAGTTTTACATTAATTTGGAAAAAAAATTGATTTAAAAAAGTTAACATTTGCAGTTAGAAACTGTGTTTTGCTTATCTGCTCAGTTATTCCAAGTGCTGAAATGTTTTAACCTTATTAGAAATGAAAGTCCCACTCAAAAGAGCCAAAAGAAAAAGGAGACAGTTCTAAAGCATAATTGCACTGAGTAGCAAAACACAGTGTAGCAAACACTCAGGCATTCCTTTTCACCTCTGTGAAGTTTGTTTACAAACCCAGAAGTCAGTGTAAATACTCATGAAAACCTATTACTAAATTTGGCCTACACTAACTGCTGTAATATTGCCTAATCAAACCCATCAACAGACCAGCAGCCTGTATTTGAAGAATCAGTAGAATGGTTTTTAGTATAGTTCTCAGGACTGTAATACAAATTAACGTAATGTACAATTCTGAAGGACACAAGAAAATTGAGGAAGGGCAGTTACACGATACAAGGAACAATTTTCTTCAAATGTAAGGTAAGTATTATGATTTTAAAGGAACAACTTGAAAATTTCTGAATAGATTAAAATCTATTCAGGCTGCTGCTGAAGTACAGCACTAGGTACTAGCTATAGAAAATTACTTTAAATAAATTAAGATAATGATTCTGTGCTGAGATTTATAAAAGACAAGTAACACTGTCAAAAGAATGACAACACAGGTCATACATGAAGTATGTTCCAGTTACATATACAGAAATGTATTAATTTTTCTCCATTTTCCATATTTATTGTTACTGATAAGGACATTTTCAGACAATGAAACCTGTCAAAGTAACACTGCTGCTTTCAATGTTCTATAAATCTGCAAGTTTTCTTCAAGCATATAAAAACCAGAACTATTAAAAATTCTGTAAAATTTTGTTCACAGACAATAAAACTTAATAAATCATTTTCTTACAGCTGCACGTAAAATTATTCCACTGCACATAAAAATTAATAAAGTTGGGTGCTATTTTCAGCTTCACTTAGAAAGAAAGAAAACAGTTTAACCAGAAAAATGAACAATTAATAGTGGAAATTGCTTACATACTCCAAGGATTATTAAAGAGACAACATAATTAAACGGTTAAAAACTGATGTCCTCAAATAAATATATAAATAACACAAGTAGATATACAGTACTTACTCTGTGAGCTGGACTCGTTTGACTGCATAGGTCTTCTCAGCAATCCTTGCAGTTGCTTTGAAAACGTTCCCAAAACCACCTTCACCAATACAAACTATATTTTTAAAATCTTTAAGAAATCTTAAAAAAACAAAAAGAAAAGTAACTTAAGTGTCTTTAACATTAAACTAGCAAAATACAAGAACAAGTTGTCCTGTAAAGCACAACACATCAGCTAAAATACCATTCTACGTGGATCACTCAACACCTGTTTAGGTCTAAATCCTGAAGACTACTAAAAAAACCCAAAATATAAAAATAAAAAAAAACCAAGGGAAAACGATTCTATTACCCACAGTTACACCTCTCATCTGAAATGTGAAAGAACAAGTTTCAAATAGTAGTTCTAATAAATATTTCATAATTTATACAAAGGGAAACTGAGATTGTATTACACCTGATTGCCTATCACCTATGTTTAAGAAATTCTTCTAGATTCTAGGCTCAAGTCTAGTTCCATGCCAGGCAAAATAGACTTCAATGAGATCACCCACATATCTTAGTTGTAGTCACATACAAGTGAATCAGTATGAAAAATTTTATGATAATTTAGTCCAAACATTTTTCACTGTAACTTTGAAAGGACTTTTAAAACTTCCAACTTGAGGAATGTCCTTTCAACTAACATGACAATTCTCAAATTTTTCTCTGTCTATTCCAAACTCATGTATCAAGAGGAATGTGTGTCTATTCATGCTATCCATCAATATTTTCACCAAACGGGATCTCAAAACTCACCCTCTGACTTTTAATTTTAGGCATTTGTAAACGATGTTTCACAATAGTTTTAGTTTTTTCATGTGGCAACAAGAATAAAGTCACTTCGTTCATTAGTCTGCATTGCTTTAATAAATGAAGAAGCTGTTCCTTTGATTGGGTATTCACAGGAATGCTTTAACTTGTCTCTTGAACATACAAAATACAGACCCATGTTTAAAGTCATATTAAGCTCCTACAAAAATATAGTACTTGTGATACACACTCACAATCATCTAAAATTTTCTTCAACATTTAAGGCTAATGAGTTCATAGCTCCTGCTTCACTACATGTTCTTCAGGCAACCTCAGAGTGATCCATTTAAATGGGCTTTCCTAAAAATCTCCTTATTAAAGTTATTTAGAATAGTAGAATCAATCAGTAAGATGGTGCAAAATTTAACTGTTGTATTTATCAAGAAAGGATGGCAGATTCACACTGGCCCCTTTTGTTTCATTTTTTGTTATAATTGAGATTAAAGGTTTCAGACTTGCCATTAAACTGATCATAAGCTATTCTAAGCTTTAGTACAGATTTATTAGGAGATCTGTGAATGGTAGAACTTTTCCCATCCTTCCATGTATGAAACAAAAATGTTCTTTCTCCAATATTTCAGATAGTAAGCACTTTATAATAAAAAAGCATGCTATGTCACAAAGGCAATTTGATGAATCAGGAAGGACAGTGATGGAAGGCTGCCATAAGCCAATATGTCCAGGAAGTGTCCTGTTACAAGAGTTATAGGTGGCACTTCACTACATCAGTAGAATATAACGTTACCTGTTACATTTCAATATATGCACCTGACTTGACAGACTATAGCGTCATTACTTTCATATCTTCATACAAATGACTTTTGGTCGTAAGCATCAAACATCATTGCATATCAGTTGCTACAGTATATTTAACATTTGTAGGGGCGGGGGGGGGGGAATCAAGTATCAATTTTCTTTGAAAGTTTCTTTTACAACAGTATTTTCCCCACATTCGATTTCAAATAAACAAACAGAAATCTAGACTGCTACATATTGTAATTGCCAAAAAAATCTCATTACAAATTCTTTCTTACCTTTTATCCACAGTGCATGTATTTTCACCCTCCTCACTTTCATTTGTGTCCAAATCTGACAAACTTTCATCTGAATCTGACATACTTTCTTTCTCCTCGTTTCTTTCATTATCAAATTTAGCAGCCAGTTTTCTTTAACAAGGATAAAAGCAAAATTATAATGAACTATTTTTATAATATGCATCAAGAGAAAAGAAATGCACCTCTTATTAGCAATATTTCCATGTTAAGTATAGAAAACACTAAAGAGGTTTGCAAGCTCATTTATGGAAAATAGCTATGTAGAAATAAACACATACCTTTTGGGTTTCAGAAGAGAACTTCGAGCATTTCTCTACACAAAAAATAAGAAAAACACAACTAAGATATGTTGAATATTTTCACTATAATTAGTTTAAAACGTGCCTGAGACTGTATCTAACAGTGGTCTATAAACATGAACATACTTTATACAAAGTAATAAGACTGATGCTGTATCTTAGTTTAAATTTTTCACATATTCTATGTATGACATCATGATTCTTTCCAAATCATTCTATTTGCATAGAAAATATAAGGTTAAGTCTGTCCTCTTTCTTGGAAGTACAAACCCATTTGGTCAACAGTACCTAAACTGGACCTACAGTACACAAAAGAAAAACTAATGGTTAGCAGTAATAAGGTACCAAATATCTGGGGGGAAAAAACCCACATATGTTTTCTAGTGATAACTTTAGCACATACAGGAGAAAACTGATGCTACACTTTGACTTGCTCTATTCAGAATCTAAAATATAATTATGAGTAAGATCACTTTTATACTATACCTCAGAATGTGAAGGCTTTTCACTTAGCACCGTGTTTTTCTTTAACAAGCTTGCACCTAAGTCTTCAAAAGCAATACCACTATCATGGAAAAATAATAGACTGGTTTTAGGTGGAAGTAACACATTCCTAAATAAAAATTACAATGTTTGCTACTACAGAAAAAGAAGCATTACCAGGGCACAGTTTTTAAGAAGTAAAACATAAAAAAAAAGCATTAATAATTGTGACTGATTTAAACTACAAAATTTTATGCCAAACAGCTAATAAAACAGTAATTATTTTTACAATAAAATCCTCTATTTCTATAAAATCTATAAAAAGATTATATCCTCCAGTCAAGCTTAAGTACAGATGTTCACTTCAACACAGCACAGCCACCTCTAGCATTTTATGGATCAGCTTGCTTTACAATGGCACAGGAAGATAAAGAAAAAATAGTAGTAGCACCACTGTCAAGTTAACTGTCAGGCACAAAAGGCCTGATCTAAGGTTCCCAAATCACAAACAAAACATTAGGCACATTCATTTTCTTTCGGTAAGCAACTTTTCCCTTCAGTGAGAATGAAGATTTACAGCGAATGAAAAGCAAAAAGTACAGAAGAAATCAGAACGTAGAGCACACAAAAGTACTGACATTGAATTATACTCAGTTCACAAGAGCATCACAATAGGAAAACAAGTGTTAGAAATGGAATGAAATAACGCTACTGAATGGAGTAGCGTTGTTTCCTTTTATGTCTCAGTAGAAATGTTTCTGAAAGAATTATTTGTGCCAAACTATAAATATATCAGAAAGCCCTAAAACTATTATAAGCTAAATTGTAGGGACTCAAGTCAAATAGACTTGCTCAATTATAATGAATTTTCCCCTGAAGTCAAAGAAATATAAGCTTAAACACCTTTATATGGCAATACAGAAACTATGAGAGATTTTATTCTGAACTAGATCACATGATGCTCTAAAATTAGTAAATACATTTTGGTAGTATTACACTATCGATGCATCCAACTTACTTTGAGTCAGACAGATTTGACATTCCACAAGAATTACTAGATTTGCTAGTTGTGGAACTGATGTTAGATGTTTCCCTTCCCTCCTGAAAAAAGAAAAAAACAACACCCTAAAAATGCTTAACAAAATCACTTAGAAAATCCCTAGTGCAAAAGGTGTCATTCTAAAAGTGAGGAAAGATTATAAAGTTCTAAGTGAAAGTTGTTACTGGCTAAAGCTATGCATAAGAAAAGCATCTGCTTAACTTCCACCTATAGTGGAAAAACAAGGCCCTATCCCAAATGCCCTATGGAGCAGTTTTCCACTCACATGCAGCGTATACTAACATCTGCAGAAGCAGAGTCTGAGCTTTATTAAAAATTAAGACAATAGGTGGTTACTAAAAGCAAATGTTTCCATTGTTAGCTGAACATGCAACTGTCCATGTGAAAAACAAGACGTGTAGGCTTTGGTATACGCAGTCAGGATAGCTGCAAATCTAACTATTAGTCTGTTAAAAAAAAAAAAAAAATTAAACGCCTTCAGTGTGATAACTCTTAATTGCTAATTCAGAGCCTAATTAATCCTAAACGCTTAGCAGCATCCCTTCCCTTCTTTCCCCCATGTCAAAGCAGCTTAAGCTTGAGCTCAACTCTACAATTGTTATAGACCTTAACAACTTGATGAAAAGTCAAAAAATTTAGAGTTTTTGTTTCAGTAACAACCAACAGACAGAAATCTGCCATCTCCCTCCCCCCCCCCGCCTTTTTTGGACTCAGGAATACACTGGGCCTTTACTACTTTTGGCTGATTATATACATTTAGTAACAATTTGAATGCCAAACAGAAACCACTAAGAATGAATAAACCACTCTGCATTTAGAATTATTAAGATAGTCTGATATTTACTTCCTCAAGTAGGAGCTCTATCATAAAAATCATTCGGCTCACAATACATTAACTCTATGGTCTTTCCTTAATATTGTACAATAGACCATTCTAATTAAAGTGGTCAATTTAAAAACAACAACAACAAAAAATTTAAAACACACAGTAAGCTGTCAAGTAGTTACAATCAAGCATTTAAAATGGAAAAGATTTCTTTTCTTGCCCTTACTGCCTCCCTCCACTACGAAACTGCAAACTGCACGCCATATGAGTTAGTTCAGTTAGTTCACATGTACTATTCTGTGTATTTCACAAGTGCCTTGGGATTTTAGAATTCTGATACTTTTGTGCATACATGGAAACATAATAGCTGTCATGAAGACAACAGCTCTGCTCTCTAGAGGATGTTGTTTCAATTGCTTCAATATAATCTTTCCTTGTAACACTATAAAGACACAGTTTTTTTGATTAGCATTCCTCATTCTGCCTTTCTCACATTTCGCCCAAGATTTTAAAATGGAAGGCAGTAAGAGATTTATGTTCATAGCAGTCAGCTTGACAACACTTTGAAGAGACAATCAACGGAGAGAATACAGAAATTTTTAATACACATGCATCTCTGTATTATAACATATCAGATCATGTTCTGAAATATATAGTTAGAGATAGCAGTTGCGGGTTTTTTTAACCCAGCAACTGGACATAAAACCACAACAAAATTTTACCAAAAGAATGCTGTAGCCCAGCAAAACCTCCAAAATCTGGACTATTTCCCTGCTAAAAGGAATGCAAGGAATCTGTTTCAAAGATTAAGTATATGAAAATTAAACTTCTATCTTAGGCTAAAAGTAGCACGTACCGTTAGCTCTCCTTCCTTATTTAGTCGCTCATATGCTTGTTTTGCAGCAGCTTGTTTTGCAGCAGCTTGAGAAATTCCAATGCCACTTCCATAAACAAAACCACTAATTGTGTAAGTACACAAAAAGCTGTAAATACAACAAAGAAAAGTCTCCTTACACTCTACATGACAAGCTTTAATAAAAAACACTACAGTCAACTGACATTATAGAAAATAAGCCTAACACACACATCTTCAGATGAGTGTTTTCAATATTCATTCAATATAATTAGTAATGGTAGATACCTAATTTGACATGCCTCCAGGATAACATATTTAATGCTTTTTGAAGATTGAATGCCTCAAAGCATCATCTGGTAGGCACCTACAACCGCAAACTCTCTGCAAATTTTGAACTGAAATGTAAAGTGCCATTATACGCAATGTCATCCAGTGCTTTTTAATTTAAAATTTTAATAGCTTTGCCTACAGGATCCTGTTTTTTTTTTTTTTTTTTTAAAAACTTCCTCTCACAGCAAGCTGATTAAAGTGTAGCTTAAAGAAGGATATATTTATGGCTAATTTTCAGTATTTGATACTAACTTTCAAAAAAAATCTTGATAAAATAAAGAGAATTAAGATTTTTATTATGGCTGTTATTTAATACATTTTGTAAATAACTATGAATCAAGCTGATCCTTAAATGGACATAGGCACCAATTAAGAAGCCTTTAATAAAGTGCATCTTCCCTAGAATGAACTCCTGAACATATTATTCAAGAATACTACCAAGGCAGGTCCCTTTCACTGGGCAGGGGGACATAGGACAGAATGATGGTATTAACATATGGCTCTGAGTCTCAAAATTCATATAAAAGTTATTAAATTCATATAGTGCAGGACACAAACACAGTGTAAATAGACGACTGAGCAACTAGACCCCTGACGAGAGACCCAAAAAAAATGCTTGATTGGCCCATGTGATGCGTGTAGGTATTAGAAACTCTATTAGCTTCTTTTATTCCCTGCAATAAATGTATCACCAACTTCCTCCATGTTAAAACCATGACTGGATTTAAGTACAGTAGAGTAGTCTCCTACAGTAGCTGATTTGGAGAAGACTACAAAAACTGGCAGTAGTTCAATCGCTTCACTCCTCAGTTCCTTCAGGATTTGATACATACCATATGCGCCGTACTCAGAATCTATATTAATACCTCCCTCGCCAGCCAGCTGTATTTCCTTGGAGAACAATGGAATTAAAACAGTAGTTCTTCTGCCTCATCAGGAAAGCCATGCCAGTGAACAGCATGAAAACAAAAGTGTTTCTTGCCTCATAGGAAAGAAGGTGTATGAATTAAACCCAAGGGCAAAAGCAAGAGAAAACTGGATGCTTTCAAGGACTTTCACTCTATGTTCCACCACAGCATGATCCCAATGAGCTTCTTGTTACAGCCAAGTACAGATATGCCGGAATCAACTTAGAGTAGTCACTTTAGTTTAAGTTTTAAAATCACTGATTTTACAGGGAAGCAGAGAAGGAGTTTTCCAGCAGCTATTGTCAAGAGTGTTAAATATATTTATTGGGGGGGGGGTATGTATATCACTCCTCAGAATTACACACCAGGAGATTCACAAAGGAACCAGATCAACAACCAAGATAACTGAAGACTTAAAGCTGAAGGTTGGCCTACCCAAGTGCCATGAAATTATTCTAACTTATAAAGTAAAAAAGGAAAAAAAAAAAAACGCTTTTCTTGAGGAAGTGACTTTCTATTTTTTTGCCTCACTGAAGCATTGGCTGAAGGAAGCTAGACTCTGCTGCCATTTTAACTTAGACAAAAATCATCATAAGTGGTGTATTTTCTTCTGGCTGAGGTTTCAAAAGCAGAGTCTAAAACATACTCTTTTGTGTTCTTTGAGATCAGACTCCAAAAAGTAGTTAACCCTAATAGAAACCCTTTATTTCTTTGATAGGTATTGTTTGTGCTTCAGCCTATACTTTCAATGTTCTCCCCTCTATCAAAAAAAATTCCCTAAAACACAACTATTCCCAGGATTCTTTACATACTGTGAGAAGAAACATGTAACAAAAAAAGAATATCCTGCGTAGGACCATAAGTCCATCTAGTCTGATATCCCGTGCCAGTGACCCACTGTGGATGCTTGGGGGAGAGAGAGGGAGAAGGGAGCAAGAGGAGCAGAGAGACAGGCAAAGAGAACTGGGCCAACACATTACAGTGCTTCTCTGTATATAGACATCTCCAGCAATCTCAGCTTAAAGACATCCTGAGTCAGAATTGCTTTCCCCATCTCCCAAGTTTCTGCCCTGGCTGATTTTTCTTCCATGACCCCACTAATAGATTGTAATAGCTTTCTGAATTGAACTGAACTTTAGCCTCTCCTCTTACGTCATATTGCTTCAACTCCCTAAACATCTTAATGGCCCTCCACTGGATTCTCTCCAGCCTATCCCCAAATCTTGACTGAGTCTCTTCCAAAAGACTCAGATGACACTATTCATGGTAACTAACAGTAGTATCAGTAAACATAGAGAAGATGTAAAAGCAAATAATAACACTAAGTACATCTTACTGGGAAGCATGGCCATCTCCAGTTTGTCGGACCACATTATAATCAACTGCTTGCATTTTCTTTTGTGAAAATGTATTTAGTAGGCTGACGTAGTCGACTGCAGGTAGCACTTCTGCTGTTGGTGTAGGTAGTGAGTTCACTGGAGATGTAATTAATCCTGGATTTTGCACATTTGAAGATCTGCTTTGCTACAAAACAGTTAAAAAAGGTAACTTAAAAACTTAAGATTAATAAATCATTTAAAAGGAGTAGTGTATGAGAGAACTAGTATAGCTGCAAGGTTTGTGAGCGTTTCAAAATATTATTTGAATATTCCAAATGTGCATTAATGGAGTCTTTTAAGGCAGAACACAGCTACTCCAACCCAGAACTATTACATTTTGAATTTCCAGAGAAACTTAAGCCATATTTTCCAAATACTAGACCAATGTATTTAACAACCCATTACTGTGTCTCACCACCTCTTTTAAGAAAAGGAAGGGAATGAGCAGTGAAACATGTTACAAACACATGAATGCTGTCTCTTGAATTTGCTCGCAGCTTGCTTCAGAACCAAGATGGGGGATGGCAGCAGGAAGCTACTGATGTTACTTTAAGCAAAGGCTGCAAATGGTCTGGTGCATATATGACAGGGCAAACGAGGCTCCTTTCACAGCTGTCTCCTGATTTGCCACCATTAAAAATATATTAGCAAACATGCAGTAATTCTTGTTAAATAATGATGCTGCCATGACGAAACGCAAATGGTAACAGGTAAGAAAAAAGACTTCACTTAAAAGGCTAGGAAGCATTCAGAGTCAGAAAGAGGAATAAAGAATGGTTACCACAAAACATATGGCAAAAAATAGAGGAACAAAATTCAAAATTAAAATAAATCAATTAAAGATAAAAAGCACAAAATCAGCGATATCATAAGGAATATAATGAAAAGGAAACAAAGATAAGCAGAGTATCAAGCGACATTAAGCATTTTTATGAACAAAGTGGCAACAGACATACTGAGCAACATCCCACAAATGTTTTGAAGACATTGTACTATATCATCGAACAAATGTCAAGACAAAAAAAAAAAAACACTTTAAATTCTGGGCACACCAAGGCAGCTTAAGAAGGGCAAATTAATTTCCTCCTTCTTGCAGACATAAGAGGAAGAAATACTCTGAATACTACATACAATCTAGTAGTAGAATGACAAGGAAAATACTTTAGTGGAAAAAAAGTAGAAAAACAAACAGTAAAGACATTTTAAATTAAATAAATAATTAGAATCTCTTCCAATTTAAAGAAAATAATATTTTATTGGCTACTTCTAGCAATTCACCTTAAACCTTTACTCATAAGAAGTCCTATAGTTTACTCACCTTTTCTTCTATCATTTCCCACGATTTTTTTGCTGCTGCTGCTTTTGCTTCTTTCTTAGATTTACCAGTGCCTGTACCATATTCTTCATTATTTATTTTAACCACAATTGTAAATCTGCAACGAAGAAAACCTTTATGAAAAGATTGTTAAATTTTGTCCTATACAATTTTGTTTGGATTGAACTTTCTTTTTTTCCAATTTGTACTTCAGACCACAGCATAACATAAAGATATTCAAGCTAAGAGTAAACAAGATAGATTACACACAAAGAAGGAGTCTAGGTAGAACAGCATGAATTTCTCTGTGGGAGAATTTGTCTCATGAATAGCAGGATGATTTCAAGAATTGACTTATTTTCATTATCCCAACTTCACTCTCTACTGAAATTGTATTCTCCAACTTCACTCTCCTTTAATGAAATATTAGGGTAAAAAAAGGAACGTGATGCAGAATAGTGCTTGCAGTCATCACATAAGTGAGCCTCTATGAGAGTTCTTAAGGACAGAAAGAGCGGGAGAAGGCACACCCCACTGTGCCACATACTCTGCACATAGGAAACAGGATTAAAAAAAAAGCATAAAAGAAAGATCATTCTTCCAGAAAGGGCTCGTTAGCCAACCCATACGTAAGCGCTGAATACTATGCACATTCTATTGCAACTTTGCATCCAAAATTCACCATTTTATTCAAGTGTTCCAAGGAAACGCGTAGTCTGAGTCTCAGTGAACGGGAGCTAATTATGTGAGTTGAGGATTATTCATCCCGTAGATTTAAATCTGAGAGAGTGTTGCGTGAGTTGATCCCAAAAGCAGTACAGTCACATTTACCCACCACGGACTCCAAGTTCATAAGCCTGTCCAGACTTGACAGCGCTGGCCTGGCTGTCCACACACTGTGCTTCCAGGCCAGGAAAGCTGGTAGTGCAGTGTAGCGTAAAGGCATTGGAGCAGCTCAGGACAAAGCCAGCCTGGACTCTCTCAAGCTTCTTAGGCTGTGATCTGCACCAACACTGCCAGACATCACAGCAGAAGCCACTACAGCACCAAAGCCGGGCAGGATGAGAGGAGCTGGCAGCAGGTATCTCTGCGTCATATCCCAGACAACTCCAGGAGAGCTCATGAGATGGGACACAGCACAGAAGGGTTAGGGAGGCAGCTTGGACCAGCAATGGCCAACCCGCCCTGCTAGTAGTCAGAACACTGAGGCACCACAGGGACACCCAAGAGGGTCTACAGCACTGACTCACTGTAGCCAGGCACTGCACACTGTACTACTCCTCAGAACAGCCCAAGTTATCCAGGATTTTCCTAGATACCACGATCCCACTGTACATGACCTACAAATACAAGAGAGCTGGCTGAATTATCGTTGTGAACGTAGCAGAATACACAAGAAATGGAAAAAATGCAATAAATGGGATAAACGGGTAAGTCCAAAATGTGTTTAAGTTCTATTAGTCCCAGCTATCCCCTTTGAGTCACCTACGAACACGCAGCTGCGTGACCACAGCTGTGGCAATTACCGTGATATGGGTTACTTTCTTGAATTACCTGAGCTGCATGGAAAAAAAAACAAGATAATTGATCAAAATTTGAGACCCAGCTAGTACATATTAATTTACTCTGGGTTTGTGGTCAAGTCTAATAATATGTCAACACAGACAGTGCTAGCTGGCAATGTGGAAGACTGCAGTTTAAAAGAAACATCCAGGTTATTAGCATGAGGCTTGTCTTCATGCAAACTAGCAAATAAACAGAAAGACACATATCATAGATCTTAGGTATCTATGACCTCTGGCAGGGCAAAAACAGTAAAAAATATATATATATTGATGTTAAAAATAACACCTATTCCATCACCTGTAATTGTCTCTAAAAATAAAAGCAAAGCTGTTTAACCAAAAAGACCCTCCCCCTGTAGCAGACATTCAAAAATGAACTACCCATAACACACCAACCCTTACGCAAATTCTTAGGAATTAATATAAAACATAAATAATTCCTGTAAACACCCTTGTAAAACTAAATAATAAACAAAGCACTTTAGCACGCATCATAAACTGAAATACTTGCTGTAATCCCTGACCTCCTGAGATTCTCCACGTAACATACTTACAATACAGCTACCAGTAACACGTGCATTGCTGTTGCTCTTGGTAAACAGCCAATAACTCAGAAATTAGTTTTCTCCTTAAAGTCACGGGACCCTCCCCCCAACAATCTATATGTAAGGCTAAAATGTAAAATTTTATACAAGCGTCAAACAGCTCTCCTACTGCACGTATACATTCAGAAAACTACCTTTTACTCTTCGTAGGTCCTAAGACGACACTGATTGCAAGCTTTAGCCTGTGTTGTGCATTGCATTAAGAGTTATGAAGTTAATTGACAGGCATTATGAACTTACTCAGGATCATGAGGAGGGCCAGTCTTCTGGATGTCCCTATAAATCAATGTAAATTTATTCTTCTGACAATAACTGTTAATCTTGGCCATGCAGTCTCGTTCCATTTTGGCACAATCTCTGAGGAAAAAAAGGTTCTGTAAAGCAACATGCAAAGACATGACTATCTCTCCATGCACAGTGGTGAGACAGCCCTCAACTCTGGCAGACCACTACTGTGATATAAAATATAAAATCAGCACCAGTAGGATTAAGTTCACGGTAGTTTTCTAATCCAAGCAGGTGATTTGCCACTGTTTTCCAAGATCTGTTGCTTTTAATTGGAATAACAAATTTCAGAAGCGAAAGAGGAAATTTAGTGATTAGGGAGGGTGTGGCAAGAAAAAGCTGAATCTCTGATTAACTTGGGGGGTGGGAAATCAGTAACACTTCTCCAGACAGAATTAAAATGAGTTGTTTCAGAGTGGGGCAGAAAGGCATTTTAACATATCCTTTCGAAATGTGTTGATTGTCAGGCCGAGTGACACATACAGAAAATAAATCCACGGCAACAATAACAATTAAAATAGACAAGCAGAAGAAAAGAACTACACTAAAAAGTAAAAACTAGATTAATTTAATAGCAAGATTTTTAAAATGGAAACTTGAGAGGGCCGGGGGAGGGGGGGGGGAAGCTAACAATGTGAAAATACCAGCAATGGCAGCAGGGAAGAGCATTTCCAAACTCTTGACTACCTAATTAACTCATCTGCTGAATTATTCCATTGAAAATTTCCTCTGAATTACGGAAGTGCAGGTACAGTCTGGCCACTTCGAACTGATCTTTTTGTAAAGGGCAACCTGTAAAGGCGCCCAGAAACGATACGTCTGATGCCTGATACGCGCTCAGTTAGCATTACCATTCCAATGCACAGTAAAAGGGACAGCAACTGAGTACCCAATTGGCTATAACCCCAAGCAATTCCCAGGGGGCTGGAAACTCTCGTGTACGTTCAGGCTCCTTTAGCACTGGAAACCCTGATTCAAATCCTTGCACAGGCCACAACGACTCTCCGAGCTCCCCAGGCGCTCTGCCCCGAGGAGCCCGCGCGGCCCTTGCCACCTCCGGGCACTGCGGCGAGCGGTCCTTCTTCCCTGCTGCAGCCTTCCCCCGCCCGGGAGGAGCGGCACAAGCGCTCTCGGCTCCAAGGGGCAGCGACGGGCTTTTCCCCGGAGCCCAGCACCCCGAGCCCGCCCGGCGCTCG